GTAAACATCTGTCTCCCTTGGTTGGTTGGGAAGTATTTCTGTCCTTTGGCCAACCTGGTGATCTTTCCCCTCTACCCCTGGTTCACCCCTAGATGGTGTGTTCCTGCTCAGCTTCCTGTTCTCCCGGTTTACCCCTTCTGATAATCCTTGCACACTCTGTAATCTTGGAAATGAGTTGACCCGATTGCAAAGTGTGGGAAACAAAGACTTCACTATTTCAAATGAAACATGACCTAACCGACTATGCCACAAACAAAATTGACTCTTATTTGATTGACTATATGACTCCGAGGATGACACCGAGAGACCAACCTTGTTGTCGAGAGTGTAGAGACCATCCACTAAGCTTCCTCTACCAATCGTCCTTCTAGAAGTTAGATCTTGAAAGACACATGAACTAGGAAAAAAGGTTATGCTACAGTTTAAAGAGCTTGTGATACTACTAATGGAAAGCAAATTGATAGGAAGTTGAGGGACATGTAACACATTATTCAGGTTAAGACCATGGGGAAGGGATATCGATCATTGACCTGCAATGGAAGAAAATGAACCATCTGCAAGTCTCACTCTATCCCTTCCTGACAAAAGGCTATAAGTTTGAAAAAGATTTCGCTTACCGGTCATGTGGTTAGAGGCCCTTGAGTCAATGATCCAAGGGGAATCAGTGGTAGTGGTGACGTGGAAGGTAGAAGCCGCATCACTTGATGTAGACGCAAATTGTAGGAAACTGTGGACCCTACATTAAGTGTATTCATGTCTCAGCCAAAGATGTACTTAGATTTAAATTGATTAGGATCAACTTTCCTAGTAGGATTAGTTTTATTCTATCTTATCTAGGATTAGTTTTATTTTAATCTTATCTTTTATTGCCATGTAAGCATTAAAGTTCTTTTATAATTAGGATATGTATATAAATTAAGGAGTGGGGCGACTGTTTTAAACACACCAACCACTCCCTTCTTTCTAATACCTCTCCACGAGTTCTCCCTCTTCATCCTCTCTTCTTTTTCTTCTCATCTTCTCTCTTCCTTTCTTTATTTTTGGTTCAAAACCTAAGAGATATTTGTAGTCTTGTACGACTACTCAAATGAAGTGTGAGTACCAGTAACTGAACTGCCCATCTGTCTCAAAGCCCCACCATATGACTCCAAGTGATTATGGAAGGAATTCATGATATCTTCCTTGGGGTCAGAACTTGTGAAGTGGTCCCAAGTAGTACCAACAGACTGAGTATCTTGGGTTGCCACATTTGCTGCATTATATGCTGTATTTGGCTTCTTCTGACCTTGCACTTTACCATGTTCTTGGTTTCTCACAGCCCACTTTGGCTTCCTATGAATCTCCCAACATGTGTCACGTGTATGTCTTGAACGGCGATAGTGGGTACAAAACAACTTGTCCTTATCATCAACCTTCTTGGAGTCACTTTTTCTTTCCTATATTTTTACTACCCATTGCAGCTAATGCTACTTGTTGCTCCCCCTCAGTTGTAACCATCACACTCCACCTACTTTCCTTAGATTGAATCAGGGCATACACTTCTTGAACTGAAGGCAACTCTTTACTGCCTAAAGTCTGAACTGTAAGAGGTTCATATACAGGTTTTAGCCCCAACAAGAAGGCAAAAACCTGCTGCTGAGAAAACAACTTCTTATAAGCCTTAGAATCATCATCATGTTTCCATTCTATAGCTTGATAGTGGTCCAACTCCTTCCATACTGAAGTAAGGGCTGAGTAGTAGGCTGACAAACTACGGTTCCCTTGTTTACATGTAGAGGATTCAGCTTGTAATTGGTAAATCTTGGCATAGTGTCTTTGCTCATTTTAAGTGGTTTTGGCTTGTTCCCATATCTCACTAGCAGTGTCTACCCACATAAAATTCTTCTTCACATCGAATTCCATGGCTGCAAGAAGCCAGGACATCACCATACTGTTCTCTTGGTCCCACCTATCGTATTCAGCAGTCCCACTCTTGGGTTCTTTCACCCTTTCATTTATGTAACCAGCTTTTCCCCTTGCTGTTACATAATGTTTTACCCCCTTAACCCACTCCAGGTAGTTCAGGCCATTTAAAGGGGTAATTGGCATAGGAATGTTTTCACCTTCCATACCAATTGATCCACGGGTTGATGTAACCCTGGATGAGACAAAATCATCATTTGCCATTGAGAGCAACACAAACTACAAGTTAAGAAATTGATCTATAGATGCATACAACCAGTCCCCACTGAACTAGTACCTTTCACAGTCTCAGTCCAGGCACTAAACAGTCTAAACACCAATTCAATCACTACTGAAATGCACAACAGCACTAAACACCAATCCAATCACTACTGAAATGCAGAACAGCACTAAACGGTCCAGAAGAAAGGCAATAAAATACTGCTGAAATTCATTGATAGCAATCAAACAGTCCAGAGATTTAAATCTCAGTCCCCATTGGGTTACCCACTGCACACACCAACAAATCACAGCACATACCTGTGTCAAAGGGGATCACACACCCTTGTACAGAACCTGTCTGAAGGTGCAAATCCAAGAAAACAAGCCTTCACAGCATCGGCCAAGGAGAGAACAGGGTCTTCATAGCACCGGCTCTCTCCTACTAGGGTTACCTTGGTACTACGACCAAGGAAGAACCCAGAAGAAAACAGAAACAGTGATTCTACACAGTTTGATTAAGGTTTCTTATCTTCAATGTCCAAGAAATCAGAAAACTAGGTGGATGAATGTGATTCTGAGGAGAAAAAAGGACTCATATCACCCAGAACCTAGCTCTGATTCCATATTTTCCTTCTAGAAGAGAGAGAAACGAGAAAGGAGGGGAGAAAAGAGAGAAGAGAAGAGAGAGGGAGAAAGGTTTGAGAGTCAAAAAGTATAGCTGGTGGCGCCCAACTTCTTAATTATAATAACTTAACATAAAATAGGTAGAAGATTACATTTATACCCCTGGCGGCACACCCTAATAATAAACTAATTTAAGAGAATAAAAGAACAAGCTGACAGCACACCAACAGAAAATATAAAAAAGAAGTGAATAACACTAACAACAGGTTCCTTTCATGTTTCTTTTCAAGTTTTGGATTGTCTTGTGCATCATCTTCATTATTGGTTCTTTTCATGTTTCTGCTTCATAAAAAGACTTCTTGTTGCTGCAGATTTTTGAAGGCAAGAAAGTTTGATATTGAAAAAACTGTCCATATGTGGGCAGAAATGCTCAAGTGGAGAAGAGAGTGGGGTGTTGATTCTATTGTACAGGTAAAATATACTATAATGATCTTATTTACCTTTATTTTTAGCAGATGGCACCAGTCCTATAATCTGTAATTGTCCGTTTAATTGAAGTAACAAAGCATATACATGTTTAATCTCGGGTTCTCAAATACACTGTAACTGTGATTAAAAGGGCCTGAACCAGCAGAATTAGGTGGGTTGTGTTGTTTCAGTGGGCTAGGATTGGTTGAAGGATATAAGCTAAAAGAGCATAATATTTTATATCTTTTATTAGAGGGGGGGGGGTTACATTTTTAGTTTTCTCTTCTTCTTTGTTTGTATTTCTCTTCTTTTTCTAGATAGTTAATGAAGTTTAAGGCATGYGCCTTGTTTCAACCCAAGCACAGCCTCTTTCAAAAGCCATGTTCCTGGTGCACCTTGTGCATTCACCTATACTTCAACTTTTATAAGTTTGCTTTTTTGGTCACTTTTTTTTGTAATTCTTATATTGTTTGACATATTTGAAATGGTCAACTGACTTCTAAATTACCTTTTTTATTGGTGCTAGTCTATTAACTTTTAAAAGAAACAAAAAAGAAAGACCTTTTGAATACTTGAAGCCTTAATTATTGCAGATAGGATCTCAAGTGACAAAATCTTCACTGGATAAGTGACAAAAATACAACTGGTCAGTGGCATGGCTTCCAAACCCTCCACATAGGTTTGTTTGGACTTGTCTGAAGAGGCCTTGAAGAGATATCACTATGGCATTGTTGCTGCCAGAAATTGGCAATAGATAAGAGTGAAGAAAATTGAGAGTTGAATGATGCGAGTAGAATGTATGAACCCAGATACCTCCATTGAGGCCTTAAGCGTCCATACCCTGTCCTTTACTTTCCTTGCCAATCCATCCTCCTCGGCTTGGTCCAGTGTCTCTTCGTCCGTTTATTGACTTAAGCATCAAAAGGTTTGTAGAGATGATGGGCCAAATGGGCCATAGTTCCTTGTTTTTATTTAATTCTGTTTATGTTTTATGTTTGTGATTAGTGGTCCTTAGTTATGGGTCTGTTTTCTTTCTTTTATTATTGCTTTTAGTGCTGGCCGCCCTACTAAGGGCATTCATGTAATTGTACTCACTTTACAAACAAAGAATAAAAGGTAATTATGGGGTATTGGAGAAGGTTTGATTGACTCTCTTTCTTCTTTCCTTTCTTCTTCTCTCTTCATCTTCTTTTTATACATTTTCTCTCTTCCGTCTTCTTCAATCTTCCTCTTCATTTTTACTTTATTTTAGATTTTTACAGGTGGGGTTTACAACATGGTATTAGAGCAAGGTTCCTACCTTGTTCCTTTTTTCCCTTTTTAATCTCATACACAGGTTGTATGAAGAGTTGATTGGTTGATTGGTTAACAATCACTCAACCCAATTAGAGGAGGTTTTTGGAGAAGATTGCAGTGTTTGTTTGAGACCCAAGGTAGGTTCTTTGAAAGTTTCTTGAAAACCCTAGCTAACTAGAGAGTTTTTGGATTAAGGGGTATAGAGGGAGTTTGGAAGTGGCGCTTGGGACTAGAATAGAAGGTTTTTGATTACGTTTGAGATCAATCCAACTTGGAGTGATTTCTGGAGCCTTTGGTAGGAGCGACTAAACTTTCTCCCTTTCTCTCAAGTTGCCAGGTCCAATGAAATCTTATTTTTGATTGTTTGAATAGCAGTTCTGGCCTTAGGGTAGTGAGTCTTGACTAGTAACACTCTAATTTTATTTTTGTTTATTTCCGTTTGACCAATGGAGCAAATTGGAGGTGAGATGGAACAACTTATAAACTTCGGGTTTGGCTTGGGAGTGTCTGTGGAGACTCTATTGGGTGTAGTAACCTTAATGAAGTTACATGAGACTAATTATTTGGCATGGTCTCAGTCAATTAAGATCCATGTTTGTAGTAGAGGGAAATGGGGGTGTAAGTACATATAAATCAACATCGTAGAGATTGCGATGACACAGAGGGAATTACCAGAGCACCTGCGATGAATGTTATAATTGTCGACGAATTTGATGGATAAACACAATCAGTGACATTTGCAATGATGGAGAACCACTCTAAAGTGAAACACAATCAAACACACCTGGGATGCCCCTCACACATCGCCCACCACCATTCAAAGGTCTAGCAAGCGGAGCCTGCCTCATACCTAGTTGTGATGAGCGGTGGCGATTCGCCCCGTCACAACGAACCATGTCACCAAGACATGTCATCATTCTAGGAACCTTCTCCTTGACGTGATCGTGAGTGAGCCTAAAGAGGGCTGTAGCTAGATACATACCACATGAGGGTTCTAAGGGAAAAAGGGAATCCTGATCCCAAAAGATCCTCACTGGAAACATGATGAAACCTTGGCAAAGCTTACTTGATGGGTACCCAAAGAATCATGATCTACTTCCCTAATAAGAAAAGCTTACTTGAGAGCCTCTCTATAAAAGGGAGAGACTCGAACACCCCTGCACGAGATTAGTCTTGAGAGTTCTTGCTTCCTAGTCTTTCAACTCTTTCCCTCTTGCTACATTGCAATTCCCTTTCCTCCAAGGCCTCCTTCACACCCTTACTCGTGCAAACTCACGATAATCCTTTGTCTTTCAAAGAGACCATCCCTTGTTGCCTTACCACCCTGCTTATAGGGGATGCATCACTGGGAGTAGACCTGGCAATTGGGTTGGGTGGGTCGGGTTCGGGTTGGGTCATGGTACTTTGGGTTGATTTCGGGTCGGGTTGTCAAATGCTAGACCCTAACCCTAAATGCTCGAGTTAGGGTTGATCCATGGGTCAATTCGGGTCATCCCAAAAAATAATTGAAATTTAAAAAAATAAAGAAAAATTACATGAAAAATGTCAAAATTAAAAGAATTAACCTTAAAATTCCAAATATAAAATAAAAAACTTGAACATTTAACAATTTAAAGAGTAAACAATAA